CACAGAGCAGCAGGAAACCATGGGTTTGTGCTGCACATCGTGTTGTCACGCAGCTGGAGAGGACAGGCTGGAGCCACTGCTCCCATCCCACCCGGAATGGGAGACTGCGCATTGCAGGAGATCCTTGTTTCGTTGTAAAATGGGGAGTTTTCAGCAAAACAGTGGGTGTCAGAGCAAAACCTTCTGCACTCTGATGGCAAGGACACTGAACCCTGCGCTTACAGACACTTGCAGGACAGGACCTGAGGGTCCATCAAGCTGCTTCCATCAAGACAGGGAGAAAAGGAGGAGGAAGCATGGAAACAGGACCAGTTCAGCCTGTCCTCGCCTCCCCCAGAGCCACACTGCTGCTGTTAACTGGAGAAACGCAACCCTCACGTGGTTGATCACAAGGAGGGCTTGTGTTTTGGGAACCCCCAGGAAGGCAATTGTGTGGATGCCACCAGGCTTTGGAAAGCCCAACAACACAGTGGCAACAGCGACTATAAACCCCTGGGTAGCTGAACAAAGCAATAGCCACTGCTCAGCCAATGCTGGATGAACTCAGCTACAGGGAGGCACAAGAAACTGGAGGTCCATGTGTGACAAGGATGACATTTAGGACCTTGCATGGTTAATGGCATCTGTGCTCTGTCCCTTCCCCAAATGCTACTTTCCCACCTTCAAGTCTTCAAGCAATTTCGCACCAAAGCAGGAAGCACAAGCAAAAATACATTGATTAAAAACTCTTGACCTGATTATGCTGATTACACCTACAGCCTGGAGAAGGGAAGGCTCCTGAAGGGGAGACCTTAGAGAGCAGCTCCAGGGCCTAAAGGGGCTCCAGGAAACCTGGAGAGGGGCTTTGGACAAGGGCCTGGAGGGACAGGACAAGGGCAATGGCTTTAACCTGCCAGAGGGGAGATTGAGATGAGCTCTGAGGCAGAAGCTCTTCCCTGTGAGGGTGGTGGGACACTGGCCCAGGGTGCCCAGAGGAGCTGTGGCTGCCCCATCCCTGGCAGTGTTCAAGGCCAGGCTGGACACAGGGGCTTGGAGCAACCTGCTCTAGTGGAAGGTGTCCCAGCCCGTGGCAGGGGTTGGAGCTGGATGAGCTTTAAGGTCCCTTCCAATACACACCAGTCTGGGGTTGTATGATATGATTCAAAAGCAAGCTGACCCCCAGGCAGATGAGAGGAGGTGTCAAACCCAGGATACCCCGGGAGCAGCCTGAGCTGTGGATCTGCAATTCAGGTGAGACCTCGTCCTGCCCCTGGGCCACTCACCTGCTTGAGGAGGAAGAGAGAGAGAACCGCACAGAGCGTGAAGAATCCTGCCACCACCATCATGATGATGGCCACGGCCAGGTTCCCGTGCAGCTCCGACAGCGCCGCGATCCACCCGCTGCGGGACAGGAGAGTGGGGTGAGAACAGCGAGCACCACGCACAGCAACCACAGCTGCACAGAGCCCTTGGGGGAAGGTTACAGGGAAGTGCAAAACCAAAATGTAATGGCTGTGGTAATGGACCCAGAGCTCATCCGGGCATCATGTTATAGAGGGACGTGGAGCTGCTGGAGCGAGGCCAGAGGAGGACCCGGAGCTGCTGCGAGGGCTGGAGCAGCTCTGCTCTGGAGCCAGGCTGAGAGAGCTGGGCTGGGGCAGCTGGAGAAGGGGAGGCTCCTCAAGGGGACACCTTAGAGCAGCTCCAGGGCCTAAAGGGGCTCCAGGAAACCTGGAGAGGGGCTTTAGACAAGGGATGGAGGGACAGGACAAGGGCAATGGCTTTCACCCGCCA